ACCGCCCAGACGCGGCCAGTGCGGCTGAGCTAGCGGAATTCTCTGAATTTTTACTTCAAATTGGAGAAGGCCGTTACCCAGTCAACCATGAGATCGGTGATGGCGACATTTGCCTTCCACGCGACATGTGTATCATTCCAGAACGACGGGTACAACAAATGACCTCTGACGAAGAAGACGTGGATATGGAGCCTCCCCCAAGTTTCAGGCTACTACCCCCGGCGGACGAGGAGCACGAACGAGACATGGACGAAGTTGAAGAAGACCGACGAGTCCGCAACGTCAACGCACTCATAGATGCGGTGTACCCGGGCGTTGATACTGAGAATTTACCCGATGAATACTTCGTTGAGCGAGCCATACTAGCCCCCACAAATGCAAGTGTTCGGCGTATCAACGACATGGTTGCGGAACGGCTGTCGGGTGAAACGAAGGAGTATCTCTCGGTGGATAGCCTCGAAGGGGTCGCGGATGCAAATATGTTTGAGCAGAAGTTCTTAAACTCTCTTAACTTCTCCGGTATCCCTCCGCACAGGATTGTTCTGAAGGTTGGAACACCTATCATCATGATTAGAAATCTGAATAGCGACGCAGGACTTTGCAACGGAACGCGGCTTCGGGTTGTGTCACTGCGCGAGAGAAGCATCGAGGCCAGCATTATGTCAGATATCGTGGCTCGCGTGTGGTAGCAGAAACTGAAAGCGGCGCTTGACGATTTAAACCAAGGCGTCCTGGGGCGGGTGAGAGCGCGAATTTACGTTGTCGCGTTTCAAAAACGAGGCCTCCCCCACGCTCACGTATTGATTATTCTGGCTGACAAAGACAAATCTCGGACGCGCGAGATCGTAGACAAGTTTGCGCTGAGATCCCAGATGAGGACACAAACCCTCAGCTGTATGCGATGGTCATGTCATGCATGCTCCATGCGGGCCTGCGAACCCTTCCTGCGCGTGTCTGAAGGACGGCAAGTGCACCAAAGGATATCCGAAGCCCTTAGCAGAAGTTACACAAGCCAATGCCAATGGATATCCAGTGTACAGACGACGTCGACGGCAATAAGGTGTTCTATAGTTCAAAGGCAGAGATACGACAACGCTACGATCAATCAGTGGGTTGTACCGTACAGCCCGTACTTATCCCAGAATTACAATTGCCACATCAATGTGGAGGTGTGCACGGATATAACTGCGGTTAAATACCTGTACAAGTATGTGTACAAAGGACCCGACATGGCTATACTCACTGTGGAAGAAGTCCGAGGAGGGCAGCAGAGTGCGCGTCGAGAACCAAATGAGATTCTACGTTTCTTGAGAGCTCGTTACATTTCTCCGGTGGAGGCTTGCATGCGCCTGCTCGATTTCACGATTCAGGGGAAAACCCATGCGGTGACACAGCTAACGGTTCATCTGGAGTCAGGCCAGACAATTTGCTTCCGCGAGACGGAAAACCCGGAGGCGGTTTTGGAACATGGTAGCCACACGATGCTGATCAGATTCTTTGAGTTGTGTGCGAGTGAAGAGCCTCAGAACCAAAATACCAGAACGATGTTGTATCAGGACATCCCTAAAGAGTTCTGTTGGAAAGCGCCAGAGAAAGGGCAACCGAAAATGTGAATTCGCCGGAAACAGTATCAAGCTGCCGTTGGTCGCATGATTCTCCTCGAGATATTGAGCGGTTCTATCTTCGGCTACTGCGCTGTCAGCGTAGAGGCCCAACGTCGTTTGAAGACTTAAGAGCGGTTAACGAAATTGTCTGCCCCATATTCCAAATTGCGGTGCGGGACGCTGGCTACTTGGAGAGTGACAACGAGTGGGTTTTGTGTTTGACGGAAGCGGCTGAGCTCCAAACGCCGTATTAACTACACCAGCTCTTTGTCACCATTCTGGTGTATTCAGCTCCAGCAAATGTTGGTGTTCTATGGGATCGATTCCTCGCGGATCTTTCCCAAGACTTCGCACGCAAACATCGGGCTTTGATGGACCCCTTCAAGTCGGCGCTGGTAGGATTTGAAACGCTTATGAGCATTCAAGAGCTACTTCAAGCGAGTGGGTATGCGGTAGCTGACTTCGACGAGCTTTCTCAGTTGGGGTCGTTCCCAACATCGATTCGTGAATCGCTTCGCCAAAACGGCTTACTTCGACGTGAGCTCACTGGATACGATGCGTCAGATTTGGAGGCGATTGTAAATACAGAAGATCAGTTTAACGAAGGACAGCGGGTGGTTTACGACCAGACTATTGAAGCGGTAGACTGTCCTCAGAAAGGCAAGAAGTTATTTTTTGTCAATGGCCCGGGTGGTACTGGAAAATCTACACTACTTCGAAACATACTGGCCAAATTCAGACTCTCGGGGAAAATCGCCATCGCTGTGGCGTCTAGCGGTATTCCCTCGTTCTTGCTCATGGGTGGTAGGACAGCTCATTCTACATTCAAGATTCCTTTGAAATTGAACGAGAGCTCGACGTGCGGTATCAGGAAGAGCTCCCATATTCAGGAGTTGATCAAGCATGCAAGTTTGATTATTTGGAACGAAGCACCTATGGCCCATCGCCACGCATTCGAGGCAGTAGACTGAACACTGTGGGACATACTTGACAGCGACACCGAGCCTTTTGGGGGGAAGGGTTTGTACTTTTGGTAGATTTCCGCCAGATTCTCCCGGTCGTGAAGAATAGAACACCCGTCGAGACAATTGACGCTTGCCTCAAGTCGTCTAAGCTGTGGCCCCAATTCCAGACGTTCCGGCTTACGGAAAACATGCGAGTGCGCACAGCTGAGACTGCGGACACTGCGCAGGAAATGGCTGGGTTCTCCGAGTTCCTGCTGCAAGTCGGGGAGGGAAGGCATGATGTAAACCATTCCCTAGGAAGCGGTTGCATGAAGATTCCACGCGATATGCTTATTGATAATCCGCCTGTGCCCGAGGACGAGGACCAGGAAATTCGTCCTGGTGTTATTCCAAGAGGTATTGGATCGGATCATCGACGAGATGTATGGAGAGATTAACAACCCCAAGGTTGCTACCAACGAATATTTCGTAACCGTACGATCCTCACCACCACGAACGTAATAGTGCACCGTATCAATGAAGCGGTGACCGATCGATTAACTGGACAGGCGCGGGAATACATGTCTTCTGATTCTGTACAAGACGACTGTGACGGTAATTTCTTCGAGCAGGAGGTACTCCACTGAGGAGACGAGAGAAAAACTACAAAAGTGAATATTTAAACTGTAAGTTGAGTTTACACACTTATCAGTGGTGCACTAGCCCTTATAAAACAGGAGTCATCACCAACTTTTTATTTTCTTCGTGTAACTGTCAACTTGATATTCTAGCACTATAAAAGGGAGTTAGGCACCAATCGAGTGGAGCAAAAAACTAAGGCCATGCATCCAGCATTACGACGAGAGCGCTTCTGAAAGAGCTCATTCGACTTATAATGCTTATCTTATTGAAGTGGCTCTCTACAGGTACGTACTGCTTGTAGTCCTTTAAAAACGAAAACGATTAGGCCAGTCAAAATAGCAAACCATGAAGCAATAACAAAGATACTAAAACGAATAGCGTAAGATCCAGCAAGGTTCTAATTAGCCTCTATCACTCGTTCTACGCAGTACGTTTCAAGCCGCCGGCCTATACCTCGAGAACGTGCTGGATGATAAGGACGACGCTCTACAGAAACAGAAGATCAATGCCTGGATGGCCATGGACACATTATTCGTCTACCTGTACGTACGACCTGGTGCAGCACCGCGACCTGGTACCAGGTGATCGCCTTCCGCTTCTTTGCCATATCTTTTCGCTGGTTTTCGTGTCTGGTTCCAGTCCAATCCAAAGCTCGTGGGTCGTGTGTCAGCTCGGCGTCATGATCGTGGACGCCTTCCCAACCTTTCTGGCCACCTGGAACGTGTACCGCAGTCAGTGGTTCTGGCTCGGTATGCCTCTCCTCGATGAGTTCCCCAACAGTATCGGCGACTTCATTGCCACTCTGTTCGTCGTGGGAGTGTGTGACAAGAGAAACCGGACGGGATCAAGTAGGCCGGAGGACTATAGCCCACCCCCCATCATCGTGACGGTATTGAAAAGTAGTCCGAAGATTGACGCGGTTCCTCGGACGGCAACAAGAAGGTAAACACCGTTCCTAGGTACACTTGCATGAGAATTAGCAGCGAGATCGTCAGTCAGAGTACGACGCCAGTCCAGAAGCCCGTGAAGCCCACCATGGGGTAGAACACAACCGTGAAGAGCAAGCCACTGCAGAAGCAGTAGGGGATCTCAGCCACGGTCGAGCCCACAAAGTACCACAGCGCATTGTACGCCTGCGACGCGCGTTCCCGGTAGTACTACGCTCGCTCGGAGCAGGCAAGCGGCAGAATACTCTGGAACGCCATCATCGCTTAAAAGAGAGCACCCATGTAGACCATTCCGACACCCGAGTTGAGACCCGTGTACGACGCGTAGTCAGCGTCGATAAACACGAGACCGATGACCAGTGCGAGGAGCACAACGAGGATCATGCGCGTGAGGTTGTAGCTCGGAGTTCGCCAGTACATCTGGATGAATCGGGTCACGACAAACTTCATCTGCGTCGCCGAGTTGTCTGCACGTTTGTCGGCGAAGATCATCTATGGTAGGTCCGGGGAGCGCGTGGTGATGCCTTCCTTGGCGAGGTTGTTGTGCAGAGCCTCACTCAGCGCACTGCCGTTGAAGTAGTTCACGAAGTCCGTCTGGTTACCCGCCGCGTTGTTCACACCGGCGCCAATACATTCCAGCATCCACGTCGCGGGATTGTAGCCAAGAGGGAGGGAAGACACCCCCGGGATACCGTCGAAGTACTCGATCAAGTTACAGCAATCGCGGCCCAAGTCTCCGCAGAACACCGTCTCGCCTCCACGCTTCAGCAGCAGCAGACTATCGAACAAGTAGAACACTTCGGCTGACGGCTGGTGGATCGTGCAAGTGATGGTACGTCCCGAGTCCGCCACCTTGCGAACACCGTCCATAATAAGCTTCGCCGATCGAGCGTCCAGTCCACTGGTAGGCTCGTCCAGGAAGATGATACTCGGCTAGGCAGCGAGCTCCACGCCGATAGTCAAGCGCTTCATCTGCTCGACTGAGCTGCCGCGGATGATCTGGTCCGCGATGTCCTCCAAACCCTAGAGCTCAATACACTCGTTGACCGAGTCGTACATCTTGTCGTCCGAGATCGAGGCATTCTGGCGGAGGAACGAGCTGAACGTCAACGCCTCGCGGATCGTAGCAGCCTTCGAGCGCACGTCCATCTGCTCACAGTAGCCGTGCACCGACGGATGGAGAGGTCGTTCGCTTCGTAGCCGTTCAACAGGATTATGCCGGTGATCTTCCCGCCAGTCTTACGTCCTGCGATCACGTCCATCAACGCCGTCTTGTCTGCACCCGACGAGCCCATGAGAGCCGTGATGGACCCGGGCACAGCAAACCCGTTGATATTCTTTAGCAGCTCGAGAGATTCCTTGGGGTTGTGGGGATCCAGCACGAAGTAGTGAAGGTCTTGTAAAGCCATGGTCACTGGCACGAAGTTCTTCTCCTGAGCGGTCGACTGAAAGTCCACAACACAGTCCTCCGTCGCCGCTGATATGTTGTTCTTGGGCGTCTCCATCCTCGTGTAGGTTTCGTCCTTGATGGGCTTCTCGGACACGTCGAAATTTTCGGGGGGTTCGTAGCGGAGGAATTCAAGTGCAAGACCCGACAAGATCATGAGCACCACGTAGATAGCAGCCATGTAAATAATACCGTAAGTGACCCAGGATTTCTCCGTGTCCAGACCAAACAAGTCCGAGTAGTACCCCAGTGGACCGAGTTCGGTTGGCAAAGTTGTGGTGTAGCGGGATCAGCAAAATCTGCGAGATTGCCAGATCCAACTTACCAACTGCGCCCAGACACCGACTAACGGAGGGGGTCCCCCGATGATCCGTGTTCTGCTGAACTTTCCTCACCTTGTGTACCCGTCGGTAGGGCGGGATCTGCTCTCTCGGTAACTTCCGAAGAGTTCAAGTGGTGAAGCTTGAGTGTCTTGGCGAGACGTGGGGATGGGGTGGAGCAGCAGTGGAAAATCTTCACTCTGCGTCCGTGGATGGTTCCGTATCCTAAGCGAATATTCGAGCTTATGGATCCGGGGCCT